AACTGAGAGCTGAAGCAACTTGTCAAAGTGATTTTTCTCAGGTGTAAGTTTTACCAAGTCATTCCCTAAGTAAACACTACAGGTTCTATTTCCGCATCAGATTAAATGTAAATTTACTGGCTCTTTTTTTTTTAGGCAGTTGGGGTTAAGTGACTTGCCCAGGGTCACACAGCTAGTAAGTGTCTAGTCTGAGGCCGGATTCGAACTCAGGTCCTCCTGACTTCAGGGCCAGTGCTCTATCCACTGTACCACCCAGCTGCCTCCTACCTGGCTTTTAAAGCCCTTCTCAGCCAGCTTCATTATACATTACTCTTCTTTCAGCACTCTATAATCCAACTATACTGGCTTTATCTCTTCTTCACATATAACATTTCATCTCTTGCCTTGCATCGGTCATCCTCCATGCCTGAAATACATACTCTTCTAATCCCTAACTCATAGAATCTTTCATTTTCTTCAAGACTCATCTCAGGCATGCTCTCTATGAAGCCTTTTCTGATTCCTCCAACTACTACTGCCTCCCTCCCTAACTCTCTTGTATTTGAGTATCTTATACTTATTTGATGTTTATTTTATAAACATTTGTTTTCTATGGAGTATGTAAACACATATACATACATGTGTGTGTATATGTGTATATGCATATGTGTGTATATGGATAGATAACTATAGATATGATATTTAAATGTAAAGGGCAGTTAGGTGGTGCAGTGGCTAGACTGCTAGGCTTGGAGTCAGGAAGAATCATCTTCCTGAGTTCAAATCTACCCTCAGACACTAGCTGTGTGACCTTGAGCAAGTCACTTAACCTTGTTTGCCTCAGTTTCCTCCTGCAAAATGATTTGGAGAAGACATGGCAAACTACTCCAGTATCTTTGCCAAGAAAACCCCAAATGGGGTCATGAAGAGTCAGACGAAACTGAACAACAACAAATACTACATTTATATATACATACATACATACATACATACATACATACATACATACATACATATATATATATATATCTTTCCTAATAGAATGTAAGCTTCTTGAGAATGTGGATTATTTTCTTCCTTTCTTCCTCTATTCTCAGCAACTAGCACATTTCCTGGCACATAGTAGGTACTTTATGCTTGTTAATTGATTGATTGATTAGCAAAGTCACATAGTGACAAAGCCAGAAGTAGAACCTAGGTCCTCTGATTCTAAACCCAGAGCATTCTTTATACTGTATCAGCCTTAGCTACTGATTGCTTCTAGGATGTTGACAGTGTGAAGATAATAATAACTAATAGTCGTATAATACTTTGAAGTTTGTAAAGGGTTTTTACATGCATTATCTCATCTGAACCTCACTATAACCATATGAGATATTATAGAGTACTAGAGATATTATAATTATCACCATTTTATAGATAAGAGAACTGAGGCTCAGAGCAGTTGTAGTAAGTGACCTGCCTATGGTTACACAGTAAGTGTGCAAGGGAGGATGTGAATCCAAGTTTTCTTCACGCCAAGTCCAGCATTCTATCCATTATTCCATGGAGCCTCCTGGTATGCTAAATGATGTGAGAATAATGATGAAATTCTAAACCAAAGTTATCCATTGCTTAGGCTAGTTTGTAAAACAGGCACTTTGGGATGCTGCATTAACTCTTTTACATCCCTAGAATGTGTATTTCCTAGAACATATAGCTGAAAGGTTCATGTAGCTTTAGTGTGCTTGATGCTAGAGGGTATTTTAGGCGCTAGACACATAAGGAAATGGTCTGTGTTTCCAGCAAAACTGCTTCAGCATAGGAAAGTAATAGAACTAGAAACTAGAATTTTTTTCTTCATTTTTAGGTAAGGAGAAATTTCTTTAAATGAAAACCATGTCTCATACCCAGGAATATCCTATGTCTCCTTTTCTCCTTCTTCACTTCTCTAACACAGTTTCTGGGCCTGCTGTAGGAAATCATGGGTACATTATAGTACCAGGTTGCCATATACACAACAGTGTATGTATGTATGTATGTATGTATGTATGTATGTATGTATGTATGTGTATATGTACACATACATACATACATATATAATATATGCCTATACATACATGCATACATCACACACACACACATATATATATATACATACACATACACACACAGTCCTTCCCTGAGGTACCTCCCCTCTCTATGAAGGGGACAATATAACCAATTATTGTTCCATTCTTACTAAGAATCCTCTGTGTTGAATAACCAATGATGACGTGTCCTAAAATTAGAAGGGCCTTATGACCTCAAAGTGTTATTTATTTCTTGTCACCAGACAACATGCTTATCTCTAGGAACAACTTGGCAAAGTAGGCAAAGCTGGGGGGCTTCTCTATTCTCTGTTTAGTTCCCTTTTTCAATCTTTTGTCAATCTCTTCCTTTAGGGTACCCAGTACCTTCATGCTTCTCCCAGGGGTCCAGGACTGCAACACCCAACCCACCTGCTCTTCCTACAAGTCTTTCATGCTTTAGATCTTTCCTACTTCTGACCCACCTATCAAAAATGACTTTGCTTATATTCCATCCCTCAAGCTCCCACTCTTTGAAGTGAGTTAAGCTGATAACATAGCACCTGGATTACTCTTTCCAGGTGATATGTGTGCATTTTAACTAAAGATCTTTCAATACCATGGCCATCTATGGCTATCATCACCATACCAGTCTTCTAGGCTAGAACAATGGAGTTGGGGAAAGAGAAATGGACTTGGACTTAGAATCCTTGAAGTCAAATCCTATCTTATCTACTTGCTGTGTGACCATGAGCAGATCACTTGCTCTGTCTGTGCCTCAGCTCTATCATATGTAAAATGCAGATAACACCTACCTAGGATCATAGGATTTAGAGCTGAAAGGGACCTTAGAGACCACTAAGTCCAACCCCCTCATTTTACAGATGAGGAAATGAGGCATAGGGAGAAGTGATTTGCCCAGTGTCACACAGCTAGTAAGTGACTGGGGTGGAATTTGAACACAGATCCTCCTGCCTCCAAATCCATCACTCTATCCACTTTGAGAATCAATTGAGGTCATGTATGTAAACTGCTTTGTAAACTGTAAAGCACTATGTACATCAGTTATTAATATCACACTCTAATATCCAGGGTCACTCTTCCTTCCTAAAATGCTGCTTTCCTCATATAACACCCCTGCTCTCCTTAAAAAAAAAAAGGCTTCTGATTGTCTCTCTGTTTAAATTCCCAACTCCTCACAAGTTCTGGGCATTTTCAATCATCATCTCCATGACACCAGCTAATGAAGTCTGGTGCCATTTATGAAAATGCATTACACGTTTCATCTATTTCTCTTTTGTGGATTCCTTAATTTTTTCTCAAGCAGGAAAGATTCTACATCTTAGATGTGTTCTTCTGGCCTATGGCTTCCAAAGGTAAAAACAATACTACAAATTCTAGCCAAATATGGTGTGAAAATTTTGAGGTAAGAAAGTGCTTCCAAAGTAAATTATTTAAAATCCCCAACTTTGTGGTTGGGACATTTCACTTTCTGAAGAATCAACACAGATTACTTTTTCCCTTGCATTCTCAGCAATCTAGCATCATATCTCAGTTTTTCTCAAATAACACAAATGAAATCTAGTTCTTTAAAATTTTTAGGATATTATTTAAAATACATCATTGGTAAGCCAAGGTTACCATAGACTGTTTCTTATGATGGAAGCAATATAGTGCAGTGGAAAGAGTGCTGGAAGTGGAGTCAGAGGACTTGGGTTCAGATCCCAACTCCAGCAATTGTTATTTATTATGAGAACATAATTCCGGGGCAGGTAGGTAACACAGTGGATTGAATGCCAGGCCTGGAGTCAGCAAGACACATCTTCCTGATTTCAAATGTGTTCTCAGATACTTCTTAGCTGTGTGACCCTGTTTGCCTCAGTTTACTCATCTGTAAAATGAGTTGGAGAAGGAAATGGCAAACCACTTTAGTATCTTTGCCAAGAAAACCCCAAATGGGATCATAAAGAAAACAACTGAATTACAATAAAATGTGAACTCCCCCTAGGCCTCAGTTTTCTCATCTGTAAAATGAAGGTTATTGGACTAAGTGGCCTCTGAGATCCTTCCATCTCTAAATCTATGATCCTATGAAAACATCTAAAGTTACCAAATAGATGGATATCATTTATTAATAATCTTGGAATCAACACATTCTGAAGAGGACATTGACATAGTAACATGCCTTTGAAGCTTGCAAATCAAATACCACTTTACTGGGTTAATGAAAATAGGTAAACTATAAGGAAGAAAGAATCAGCTAGGTGACACAACAGATAGAGCACTGAGCTTAGAATCAGGAAGACTCATATTCACGAGTTTGAATCTGATTTTGGACACTTACTAGCTGTGTGAGCATTAGCAAATCACTTAACCTTCTTTGCCTCAGTTTCCTCACCTGTAAAACAAGCTGGAGAGGGAAATGGCAAACTACTCCGGTATCTTTGCCAAGAAAACCCCAAAAGGGGTCATGGACAGTCAGACACCGGGAAGAAGTCTTAAATCCCATTATTGCCTTCCTAAAACATTTGGAAAAGTGTTTCAACTTTGGCAGTGTTACCACAGAGGACCTCATTCTGATTCTCTTTATTTTGATACACCATCTCTCTTCTCTGTATCTTCACACTGGCATACCTGGAATATTCTTCCTCCTCCCCTCTTCCTCATAGAGTCTCTCTCCTCCTTAAGGTGTAGTTCAAACACTTTCTGTAGGAAGCCTTTCCTGTTCTCCACAAGTGCTAGGGTTCCCCTTCCCAAACTACTTTTTATTTAGGCTGGATATATTTGTACATGTATTCATTGTCTTCTCTATTAGAATGTAAGCGCCTTGTGAGCAGACATCGTTTCATTCTTTGTACTCAAATCCCCAGTGTCTAGTTTAATAAATTCTCATTGATTATTGGTACAAAATAGTAGACTGTGTCAGTCAGTAAATCAACAAACATTTATTAAGCACTTACTATGTGCCAGGCACTGTGCTAAGCACTTGGGATACAAATAAGACAAAACCAATAATACCTAATTCCTCTCATGTGCACAATAAGAGGAGACATGTAAACTATTAATCCTTTTCTTCATTCCTAGGAGTATAGGTAGGATTGTGCAATATTGTAGAATTCACGCTCACTATATTACATAACGAATAACTTATTTTAAAAGGTTTGTAGTTCTGCAGATTGAAAGAAAATATGTTTACAAGCAGAAAAAAGTGGTATGATGTCTGATACCAAGTAATTCCTTTTTTTCTGGCTAAATTATTATGCTTTTTTTTAAAAGCTTGCATGACTTTAGCAAGATCAAAACTGCAGGGCCATGTATAGTCAGCCATTAGCCACTCCCCAAAATGACTTCCTGTGGTTTTTGTATGTTGTTCTTCATTTCTTCCGTCTGCATTTTTTCTCCTCCAACTTCTTCAGAAATGTTATTCCTATTTCTGTAACTTTGTCTCCTTTAAGTCTGTCTTGTAAGAATGTAACATCTGCAGTCAAATGAATCTAGGAGAGAAAAACCCAGGGTTAAGTCATTTTATTTTTAACCCACTCCCACCCCATCTTCTTGTTCAGTTATCATTTCCCCCCTTAAAGTGAGAATGCTGGTTATATGCTTAGTCTACAGGACCAGGAAAATCTAGAATGGCTCTGAGGAAAACCAGAGATTTGACCCAAACGAGGCCATTCCTGTGGGTTTGGTTTAGGCCAATGATTGGTGTCAGTGTGTCTCTATCTCAGAATGGATTTATACCCCCCAAACTGAATCAAAATTGAACTTGGAGCTGTGGATGACCCTGGATCTGGAGCTGTAGGTATTTCTTGGGGATTCTCCACTTTAAAGTAGAAAAACAACCTTCTTTCTCCCTCTAGGCCTACCCCAATCTGAATACAAAACTCCTGGAATCAGAAATGAATTCATCTCAATTTCTGCAGATGCGTAGTAGCAGCTGGCTAAAAGTAAGAATTAAGGAAGTGTATGTCTATGGAGGTGGGGGAGAGAGTTATAAAAATTAACATGTGGGGTTATTTTTAACATGTTTTTATCAGTGTTATATTTCTACACTTCCCAAGGTTTCTAGCTTAAAAAAAAGAGGCTATTTAGAATAAGTATGCTTATCAGTAAGTAATTAGGTTACTTTAATTGAAAATATGATACTGGTTCAAGGTAGGCCTTTAGTGAAAAAATGTGAAGACTTAAATGATGACTCTCATTTAGATTTGGTATAAATTATTCCGTCATACATCAAATGATATAGCAAATTAGAGACCTTTTAAGTCTTCGAGAGCATAGAAGTATCTAATAAAATATGAACATAAAAGTAAAGATTAAAGTTACAAACATAAATATTTGATACTCAAGATTCATTTCCTTTCTAAGACATTTCTTTTTTTGAAGTACTTAAGTATGCAACTATAATGTATATCTTCCTGTATTCATCCACATCCAAATAAACCAGTGTTTCTGTGCTTTCTCTTATAAGGTTAACACATACTACCGACCTGCCATTTCTCAAGTCTGCCATTTACTACCCAGGGTAAACTGGAACAACTCACTTAATCGCTTTGGACCTCAGTATTCTTATCTATGAAATGAGGAAGCAGGATTAAATGACCTTTAAGGTCTCTTCCAACTCTCATTTCTATGATCCTGTGAATTGGTATAGGTTAAAGTCACTTTGACATTTGGTGCCATATAAAGCTTGATGTTAGCCTGCATCATGAACTCCTATTGTCTATTTCACTTTCTATTATTCATGAAACCTAGAGCCTTCCCTCCTCCTCTACCAAGTCAGGTCCAAGAGTCACTTCCTACTGTTCATCAGTTTCCTAATTTCCTCCTGTTACCTCTCACTGATCCCAAGGCTATTTGTCTTAGGGCCAACTGGAAGGGCATGTTTGTGTGAATGACAGACAGTAAATGAGTTTGGGGTTTCCATGCTTTTTGATCACTTATATGACTTCCTGTGCCCCTCTCTCATTAGTGCACACAGATAATTATTGTATCATAGACCACTATGTCTCTAGCCAGGAAAAAAATGAATGGTGTGCTTTACCATTTCCAGGGCACCTCTAATGACTCCACACAGCAAATTACAATAACAAAGAGAAGACCGTCCAGCCGGGAGCTCCTCTACAAACTCCACCAAAGGATTCTTATCCAGAATTAGGGAGAATTCATTTCTACTTGATTCATTACGTGTCACACTAGGTGTGATTCCCAGGTACATCTTGAAAGCAACCTGAAAAGGGAGGAAATACAGTTGTTGACATTTTGGTAAAACAAATATCTTAGATTTTACTTTTTAGGTTTCTACTGGTATGTTAGTAATGTCATAGACTCTTTAGAGCAGAAACCGATGAAGTTACCTTTTTCATGGGCTATGAGAAAAGTAACAAAATTAATTCTCTGAATGATCTATGGAAAAGAATTCAATTTTTCCAAATTTTGAAATTCTCTTTAATTGTTCAACAGTACTTAGAGTGAAATGACTACAAAAATACTATAACCAGGCCACATAGACCAAAAAAAGATATCTAGAATATATTAAATGTACGGAAACCATATTTTGTGAGTCATAAACATATGTTTCAATCTTAATATGTCTTTAAACAAACTGTCTAAAAGGACCTCCTTCTAAAGGAAATGGCCAAGATTGTCATTGAATGTAAGTGGAACAGGACGCAGTCTGCAAAGTGTGATTTGAGAAGTCCTAAAAGCTTTTTTCCTGTTCCTACTGCCACCAAACATGCCCTTCACTGGCCTGAGAGAATGTCTATAATCTTTATCATAAATTACTCTATTGGTCTAAGTCATTACCCCCGGGAGGCATCTATTAGCATGGAAATGTTATATTGGATGAAAATTTTGTACGTGTGGATTCAGAGGACCTGAGTTTGAATCCTAGCTCTGCCACTTTCCTTGGGTGGTTTTTGATAAGTCACTTAAACTTTCTGAGACTCAATTTCCTGATCTGTAGAGTGAAGGGGTTGTACTAGATGGTCCCCAAGATCTCTTCTAGCTCTAAATTTAGAATCCTAATAAAAGCTTTTATTGCTATAGCCTCTCAAGGTTTAAAAAACATGCTCCTCACAATGACTTTAGTAGGTAGTTGGTTCTAATGTTATTATACTCATTTTGTAGCAAGGAGACTGGGGCTCAGGAAATTTAAGAGACTTGGCTAGGGTCATATCACTGTGTTAAGGCTTTGACTTGAACGTAGGTTTTCTATTTCCAAGATTACTATTGTACCCTTTTTTTTAAGACTCTAATTCACCAAATCATTATCAGTCATTAACATCTTAGTATGAATTAATTTGCTGGCTCACCACCACCACCACCACCTCAGTAGATAATAGGACCTTGCAAATGAAACTTGGGATAGTTGAGTTAGTTAAGTTAATTAAGATAGTTGAGTAAGTAGAGGGAGAACTCTTCTATAGAGAACAGGCTTGAAGACTATTTGGAAGGATGGTGGGCCTGGACAATCAAGGAAACCAACCTCTAGATAGCAGTTTCAGGGGTGGGGAACCTGAAGCCACAAGGCCACATATGGCCTTCCAGGTACTCAAGGGCGGCTTTTTGACTCAATCCATACTTCACAGAACAAATCCCCTTGGACCCATCAAAAGGCCTAAGGACCTAGAAGGCCACATGTGGCTTCGAGGCTGAAGGTTCCCCACCCCTGGTTCAGTGGTAGTAGTTCTGAGTGGCTGCTTGATTAAAGAGCAGTAGAGAAGCCTTGAAGACAAATCTGTCTCCTTTTCAATGTTGTCTAGCGCCAGCCCTGCACACAGAAATATAACAACTATTCCCATTTCTATAGAGCTTACAGGTTTACAGAGCACCTGAAAAGTAGATAGTACACATTTTTCCTTTTTTTTTTTTTAACAGGTGAGGAAACTGAAGCACAGAGAACTCAAGAAATTTCCCCAGAGTAGCACAGTTATCAAACAGTCCTGTGGTTCAGTGGGGAAAAAAATCTGGATTTGGAGTCAAAAGATTTGGTCTTAAATACTGACTATGCCTCTTACAACTTGTGTTATTTTTGACATATCACTTAAGGCTGACAGATCTCAGCCTTAGTTTTCTCATCTGTAAGGTAATTAAGTTGGACTACATGGTCTGTGGCAGCTAGATGGCTCAGTAGATAGAGCACTGGACCTCTAGTCAGGAAGACCTGAGTTCAAATCCATCCTCAGATACTAGCTATGTGACCCAGGGCAAGTTACTTAACCTCATTTGCCTCAGTTGCCTTATCTGTAACATGAGCTAGAGAAGGAAACAACAAACCACTCCAGTATCTTTGCCAGGAAAACCCCAAAAAGGGAGCGTGAAGAATCACATACAACTGAAAAACAAGGTCCCTAAGATTTGCTCTCTTCCTGTGAAATACTATAGCTAGGCACCTGAACTCGAGTCTTCTCCCTCCAAGAACAAGGCTTTCTTTACATAGTATGTTATAAGTAATATACACCTTAGAATCATTCTTCATCATGATCTGCTGCCATTTGCTAAGGGTTTTTAATCCATTTTAATTTGTTAACTCATGTAGAATGCATTTCCAATGATCACTTGCATATGAGAAGTGGCATAAAAAGATATCACTGAGGAAAGAAGGATGGGTCTGTCATATAGCAAGGATTCAAGATGACAAATAGAGACCTCAGGTGGTACATGAACACCTGTGAGATATTAAAAGGATTAGAGGAAGACCTCCAGCAAATCAGGGGGATCTTTTCTGAAGGATTTACAGAAAGACGTGGATAAAGAGCATGCAAGATGTGGAGGCTCAAGGGAATTGTGATTTGTACCAATGGAAGAAAATCAGTGAAACTCCAGATTGATCAAAGAATCAAAACATGAGTAGTGGAGGGAGAAATCAGATCCTTTTGTTCTCAATTCATTGACATCTCAAAAGTACACAAGCTTTGTTCTGAACTCAAACAGCTATTGTCTCTTTACAATTGAGGTCTGAAACATTGCATTTTAAGTAGTATCAGGCACATTTTGCAAAAGGCTAAAATCAATATGGTTTTGCACACACAGAAACTCGGTTATTAAACCTTGCTTTTCTTAACTCCAATACCCATCCTCTTCCTTTAATACGTTTGTATGTTCTTAAGATTCTTAAAGATACAATTTAAAAACCTCAAAATACCAAGATTTGGTTCAAATATCGAAACTTTCGAGAGGGCTTAAAACATTCCCTTCTCTTCCAAACTTTAAATAAAATGGTAGAGGAAAATGAATTAAGACATGCTGGGCTTGGCTTTTGGCTTGCGATGAAATATTTGAAAATGATTTCTGCATGTGCCAGTGCCTACACAACTGGAAAAAACCTGGGATGATTGTGTAAGTGTGCACTTCTCTATTTCTCTTTCCGAAACCATTACTGCAAGTCCACTGTACTTAAGCCCTTCCACCCCTTGTCTTCTGTGAGCTTTTCACTTGGCTGGACTCCAGTTGGCTTTTGCTTCACTTAGAAGGCAATATTCCTACCAGCAGGAGGCAATATCTGAACACACTCACTCAGAAATATTCATTCTTGGTGAATGACATTGTTTCCTTATCTGTGGCTGTACCAAATCTGAGAAACAAGACTACTATTTCTGAAGACAAGATCCTCCCTACTGCAAACCCGGACACCAGATTCCTGCTCAGCAGACAAACAACGCCTCCTCCCTCCCTTCTGTGAATTTCAAATATGGATGGGATTCAGAGCATTTTAAAATTCCTCACCAATCAGAAAAATGTCATTGGTTACAGCTTTATGGCTTTGCTAACACTAGGAGGTGAACGGCTCTTCTCGATTGTTGCTTTCAGATGTCCATGTAGCAATGACAACTTTGCCTATGGATTGGTCTTTCTCCTTGCCCCAGCCTGGGTATTACTGATCATTGGGTACTTTTTGAATACCAGGATGTGGAGACTCTTCACAGGCTGCTGTGTGAACCCTAGAAAAATCTTCCCCAAGGGGAACAGCTGCCATTTCTTTTATGTCTTTGGTCAGATCACTTTAAATGCCTGGTGGCCCCTATGATGTGGCTTTCCGTGGCTTTGCTCAATGGGACCTTTTATGAATGTGCCACGAGCGGCACTAAGAATCCACATCTCTTGAAGATAATTTGCAAGGACAAGTCCTCTGAGTGCTGGCAAGAGCTGCACAAAGTAGCTTGTGGCAAAACAAGCATGTCCTCTGCAGACACCCAGGAACTGAAGCTAACTCTGCAAGCACAGTCTCAGGTAAGATTTAAAGAACAAAACCAAAACTTAGTTCTCTTCTCAGTACTTCGGTTCAACGGATTGGTCCATTCTGTCTTTTCTCCTTGCAGCTGATGCTTAGTCTTCCTTATGATCTCATTGGAGCATCTGGGTCATGGAATTATGCAGAAATGCCAATCAGATGCAGCAAAAAGACAAATTCTCATAAAGCTTTTAGAGGACCAGACGGCCCAATGGCAATTATAGTTTGTTTTTTGGATTATGTGTTTCCCACTTCTGAAAAGAAGATATCCTATTTATCTCGTACAGGGTGTTCCCAAAGTCTCAGTACAGTTTTAAGCTATTAAAATTTATGTACCCAAGTACTTTATGGCAACCTCTCTGGGTTTATTGTGTTAATCATAAATAACTGTGAAATATGGCAGGAATTAGTGTTAATGGCAGAGTTTGTAACTGGAAATCCCTGGCTTTTAACTATACATTTCTTTTTTAAAAAGCTAGCTTCCCAGAAAAAGCTTATCTGGATTCTGTTCAGTTATTGTCATGGAGTTGAGCCAAATGAAAGGCCAACTTTCCAACACTGGGCCAGATCTCTTACTCTGAATGCTCTTTACTTCTAAATCATGAATTTCAATAACACAGAAAACCATAGACCCATTATTCAGTGTTCCTTGAATGAGCTGATGTCCCCATGTTGTTTTAAGTGCAGGAAACAAGGGCTATTTAAATGACCTCCAATAAAAGGAAATCATAGTCTCTAGGGAGCAGGTGGACTGACTACACGTCTAAATTTTATGCCAAGGTAGCAACTTCGGGAAATAAGAAATTTGGAATATTTCTGGACGGTCCAGAAAATGTTAACTTAATGATTTTTGGCTTCTCCCTTCATATAGAGAAAGCTGAAGAAGGTAGTTGGAAGTATATGAACAGCCAGAAGATGTGCGCAGCCTGCAGCAAATCTCAGACTACTGCAGCTTGACTTCCTGTTTGTGGATGGCAAACAGGAAGCCAACTGTGCATTCCTGTGCCAAAATTCCCAACGGGGTAGAAAAACAGTATGTCAGGAGTGTTGTCGGCTTTTACGGTAAATACAAAGTTGGTAACTTTAAACCTCTCAGGTTTGCCCCATTCATCATCATTCATGAAAGTTGGCTTCAAAAAACACATCCTTACAAAAGTTTGACAATGTGTGGTCTTTTCTTAAATTAACAAGTCTCAAGCCATAACCTGCAGTACTTTTCACAAACTACCACCACTAGAATATCCAACATATAACAGAGAGCCCTTTCCCACCAAATCAATGTCTTTATTTGAAGGTGCTTGTGAATTGGAGATGTAAGTCATAGCCAAAAGCTTATGTAATTACAAAGTATCTAGTATATAACAGATGCTTAATACCTTATTTATTTACTCATGATGTGCTCCTGGCTTCATCCTTTCTTTATAACCAAATACTCAAATAGCTCTGTGATTTCATTAATGTAGATATTCCTTCCAAGAGTGTAAAACATAATCCATCCCTGTCTGTTACTCTTTCCTCTTACCACCTGACCAGGTCATCTTTTCTCATTTCTTTGATGACATTTTTTCCTTTGTTTCTTCATAATTCTTTTTTTCTTTTAATGTTGCAACCTGCTTTCTATTGCATTGTGATTATAGAATTTGAGAGTTGGAAGGAACCTTAGTAACCATCTAGTCTAACCTATAGTGAAAAAAAATCTTTACTATAACGTACCCAACAAGTGGTCATCCATTTTCTGCTGAAAAATTCTCCCATGAGGTTGTCCCCACCACCTTCAGAGGCAGCACATCCTACTTTGGGACAGCTCAAATAGATAGGAAGTTGATCCGGATGTGAAAGTGAAATTTTCTCCTTTGAAAACTTCCACCTATTTCTCTGAGGTTGGCCCTCTGGGAGCAAATGGAACAAGTTCATAGAATCACAGATACAAGGGGTAACTAGGTGTCATAGTGGATAGAGCACCAACCCAGAAGTCAGGAGTACCTGAGTTCAAATCTGGCCTCAGACACTTACTGGCTGTGTGACCCTGACCGCTTCACTCCGATCACCTCCTTTAAAAAAAATTAGATACAAAACTAGAATCCAAACCAATCAATATTCATTAAGTGCCTAGTGTGTGCCAGGCACTGTGTTAAGCTCTGGGTATACAATTAACTAAAAGAAAGATAGTCCTGGGCTTCAAGGAGCTAATGGAGGGAGAAAACACACAAAAGAAGGCAGGCCATCTTGTTCCCTGTGGTTGAAACCAAGCAGAGCAGCAGATGCAAAGCAGAGTGATCTAGGAGTCCAGTATCTGCCCTTTATAAAGGAAAGCATTGGAGGGAGTTTGATACTCAGCCATCCAGAGTGGAGAGGATACTGAGAAAGGTAATTTCAGTCAAGGTTTAGGGTAGCAGTAGGATGAGGTGATTAGAAGTGATGAGTTTACACTGGGAGGGAGATCTTATTTTATGGAGCTGAAACCAGGCAAAGGAGCAGATGCAAAGGTGAGTACTCTGTCCAACCCCTTTATTTCGTAGATGAAGAGACTGAAATAACTGGGAGGTAAATGATGTGCCTAAGGTCTCATGTCAAAAAAGGGATTGAAACTCAGGTCTTCTAACTCCTAAGTCAGTGTGTTCTTCCCTCTGTAGTACTCTGCCTCAAATCTCATCTCTTCTGCAATGACACAGCCTTTCAAATACCTGAAGAGAACTATCCCCCTCTCCCCTGTTTTCAATTTTCCCATGGCTCGTAGCTGTACAACAACACTGAATTGTCAATCAAGTGGAAAACTCTTCCAATTATTTGTTGATGAGTTATTGTGGGATTTGAGGTTTTTCATTTGCTTTTTTTGTTTATTTTGCTTTTGTTTTGAAATAGCTATAAGGAAATTCTAGATACATCTTAATAAGTGAAAGATGAATGATCCCATTTGTGTATTTTTTTAAACTCTCCTTTATTTCCCTGGTTTTTTATATTTCTAATAGGTCTGCTCATTAGTTCTTCCACCAAGGGGAGTAGAGAATTAAAATTCAAGTTCTTCCATCAGTTACTTGCTAGCAGTGCTGATTAGGTGGTGATGGTTAGAATATTGAAACTTGCATTTGAGGTGTGGCATGGTGTTTATCTGGTCATATAATGGCTTATAGGAGGAAATCAGTTCATTTGGTAATCAGTGTACAGCTCTTCCAAAGGTCCCTTTGGGCTCTGCTCAAATTCAGAAACATGAATGGCCTCTGAACTTAAATGTCAGGTTAAAGTTAGGGATCAGAAGCCATCTGGTGGATATCCAATAGGTATGGACTAGAAAGCCATGTGAGGTCCAATAAAGGTCTAAAATGGCTAGGTGTAGATCAGGGCAAGGATGTGCTGGTAAATGTTTAACAAACATCTGACCAAAAAATAAATGCAGGAAGGATGTACTTTTAAGTTTAATCAATATTAATAACATTTTCCCCATCATGTTTCTAAGTCTAGACAATCAACAAAACAATACATCAAGCCCTGAGTTGTAGTGTTTACCAATTTCTAAAGTGTAAATGTTTACAGTAAAAATTCAATAATCAGCTCTCTCTAATCCCTGGATAGGGGGTTAGGGGTCTGATAGAAAATGATTAAAATAAGGGATTTGATAGATACAGAATTAGGGTTAGAATTAAGGTTAGAGATGTTAGAAAGAGGTCTGTTGGTAATGTAGATGTGAAATGAGCTCCTGAGATAAGCATCAAAAAAAAAAAAAAAGAATAAATCCAAACCATAAATGAATTGGTAGAAGGCTAAATTTTCTGGATAGCTAAAGTCAAAATTATAATGCATATAAATGACACCAAATGATGTTAAACATTTCAAAGCAAACAGGGAGAGCTGAAAGCTATTATCTGCAAATAGGTCAGTTTTCCTCAAAGAATCTGTAAACGTATACATGTCTCCCATTGCCATAGACATTCGAGTTCATCTCATTTCTCTCTAGTAATTTATGTAAATGGAATACTTAACCCACGCAAAGTACTTAGTACTTCAAGGCTCTAAGGTTTCATTAGAGTGTGTGCTCCTTCTGCTCACACAGACAGGTTGTTAGCCACTTTTGCCATCATAAAAGGTCTTCATAAGTTACTATGGCAGAAGAATTCATCTTTTGATGATCAACCCTGGGAACTCTAGAATAGTTTTCATAAGACAGATATAGTCTATTGCTAGGACTATATTTAAGGAGGCAGAATTGTTTAGTGGATAGAGTGTTGGACTCACGTCAGAAAGGACTGGATTCAAATTCTATCTCAGGCACTTGCTAGCTGCTGGGCCACTCTGAGCCTCAGTTTCTTCCTCTGTAAAATGGGGATAACAATAGAACCTATCCCACAGAGTTGTTGTGAAGCTCAAATGAGATAATAGAGGTAAAACAGAACATAAAGCACTCTCTAAATCTGAGCTTGTTTACTTGAATCCTTTCAAACTTGTGCTCTACTGGAACAGCTGTCAAGATCCCAAGATCTTTCCATTCCAGGATGAGAACTTTAGTGGGAGCACAAAGTAACATTATACAAGTTTCAGGACCTTAGCAAGACATGCACAATGCCTGTGAAACTTGGCTACAAAATCACCAATATCAGAAGAACACCTGCTTAAAAAAGATTTTCTCTGCCCAGATTGTCTTAACTCCTTTCTTGTTATTCAGTTGTTTTTCAGTTACATCTGACTCTTTTGTGACTGTATTTGGGGTTTTCTTGGCAAAGATACTGAAATGTTTGCCATTTCATTCTCCAGCTCATTTTACAGATGAAGAAACTCAGGCAAATAGAGTTAAGTGACTTGCCCAGGGTCACACAGCTAGTAAGTGTCTGAAATCAGATTTGAACTCAAGGAGATGAGTCTTCCTGACTCCAAGCCCAGCACTCTACCCACTGAGCCACCTAATTGCCCTAATTTCTCAGCTCCTTGAATACTGCATTTTGAACCTATAATTATTACCTATTTCTTCACAGAACAGGAAGCATATAATGACATTTTAAAAGATCCATTTTGAAGTTATATCTTCAGTGAGAGTAATGTGGTAAATAAAATTATTGCTAAGAAAATTCATCAATACCTGATACATTCTCACCTTAAGATTAATTTGTTAGGGGCAGTGGAAATGGTAGGGTTTAGTCATTGTTGTTATTAGTCCTTCTTTTTCAAAAGGAGCAATGACATCCAGGTTGATGTCGTGACTTGAGTGTGAACTGGATTTAAGTGAGGCAGAGTTGCACAAATATGATTTCATTGGTATGGAGAATTGCCATTTGGAAATGCCTTCCATTGATGCAGATTGTTCACTCATCTGTAAGTTATAGTCCTAGAAAGTTATTTGGCACAATAAAAATATCACTTACCCTAATATGCAGCTAGTATACAGCAGAAGTAAGACTTGGACTCATGTTGTCTTGATTACAAGGCTGGCCCTGTATTCCCTAGGACACCCTACTAGGGATCACACATACCTATAAATGTAGGAGGGGGTAGTGAGTCGGTCTGAACATGGGTTCTTAACCTGGGGTCCGTGCATAAATTTCAGAGTCTTGTGAACTTAGATGGGGAAAAGATTATATATTTTTTTCACTAACCTTTGGTTTCCTTTGTGATTTTATGTATTTTATGTATTTAAAAATATTATCCTGAGAAGGCATCCAGAGGCTTCATCAGACTGACAAAGAGTCTATGTTGCAAAAAAAACCCATTAAGAACCCCTGATCTAGAACATAAAATAGCAATTCTGATGAGAAATTTACAGTCTCTGACTGTAAATGTATTTACCTTTCAATGATTTGTTCAATCAAGAAGCATTTATTAAGGGCCTACTTTGTGTGAGGCACTTTGATAGAACATGGAAATATTAAGACAAATAACAAAAGTTTGTTTTAAGATAAAAACAATACAGTTGATCACTCGTATTCAAAATTATCATCCCTAGAAAGCCACTCTGCTGTTGTACTATGAAGGGGATGGATGGGGAGGAACTATGTACTTTAAATGGAAGTGTTTGTTTTTAACACATTAAAATTTATACCTAAATGTTCCAGATGTGACCTTAAAATATTTTTGCACAAAAAAACAGTGCTTCATAAGAACATAAAAAAAGAAAAAGAAAATAATTAGGAACCATTCTCGTAGCCCTTATATCTATTGTGTATGTCCTATGCAGAGATCGGATAGACTGCATACCAGAAGATAATCAAGAAACTAATATGTAATTGGATTTACTGAAAAAGGTCAAGTTATCACACGCCGACCTCATCCAAAGAAAGACCATTGTATTCTTTATGCTTGGTGAGTGAGTGGGAGGCAGAGAGGGAGCTGCAGACTGCGTAGTTCCAGGCAACTTAAATGCAATGTCTATTGACCTAAACACATTGACTATATATAAAAAAAAAAAATTGGCTATATGAAAATAGCCACCATCTCATTTCTAGTTTTTGTTCAGTCATTTCAGTCATGTCTGACTCTTTGTGACTCCATTCGGGGTTTCCTGGGCATAGATCCTGGAGTGGTTTGCCATTTCTTCTCTGGCTCATTTTACATATGAAGAACTGATGCAAACTAGATTAAGTGACTTGCCCAGGGTCACATGGCTAATAAGTGTCTAAGGCCAGATTTGAACTCATGAAGATGAGTTTGGCTCCAGGCCAAGCACTCCATTGACTGTGCCACCTAGCTGCCTCTTCATTCCTTGTACTACACTTTTTTATGAAAATTAAGCACAAAGCGTATACAGATTTTATATGGTGTGAAGACTGAGGTGAAGGCATCAACTTCAGGAGAGCCTTCTTTGAATAATTCCTGAATCAAAGCCCTTTGTCAGTGTAAAAATGATATTTTCCTTTAAAGAAAACACTATTACATTGACTGAAAGACCTTACACAGTGATAAGCAATGAACATTTTAACTGATAATTAGGAAGTTACTGGGGAGGTCATAGCCTCTTCTATTTTCTATTATTGCAACAGTGTATATTTTTATTAGCAAACTTGGAATGCTTGGTGATGGTGGTATAAATTCTTCTTTTCAACAATACCTGTACCTGTACAGTGACTTGAGCTCATATCAGTGAGATGGATGGCATACAACACTGACTATAGAGTGAATGTTGCCTCACCTTAATCTCAGCAAAAATGCCATCTTGGTTTCTTTCATTTATGGCTGATTCTTTAGTAGAGCCAACTCTTAGTCACCCAAGAACTGAGGCCTTGGGTTATAAGTGTGAAGTTCATTTAGCTACAGATTGCCTGTTCATCATACAATGTAAAGAGTCAGTAGGACCTGGGTTCAATTCTTGGCCTTGCTATTCAATACCTGTGTGATGAGTCATTTAATTTCTCTGGGCTTCAGTTTCCTCATCTGTAGAATGTATCAGTTGTACTAGATGACCTCTGAGGTTGTTTCTAGCTCTAAAGCTATAATTCCATGATTTAGCCATAGGCTCCCAAGTGATGGCGTTGGACAAGATGACCTTTAAGTTTCTTTCTAGTTCTAAATCTCTGATGTGCTTTAGATTATATTGATTTGAATAATTGAAAATTCACTGTTCCTCCATTTTCTTTCCAAGATTCTAGGGTGGTGTGTGGTTTCCATGGCTGCCTTCTTCTCTCTGCTCACCACCTGTTATGTCAGATGCCGATCTAAGATCAGCCACCTTCAGATGAAGTTCTGGAAGACCTATGCAGACCAGGAGAAGGAGCAGTTTGAGAAAACTTTCCAGGAGTATGCAGTCAGGCTGAGTGAGAGGAACCTAAAATGTTTTTTTGAGAACAAAAAGCCAGATTCATTCCCCATGCCAACCTTTGAAGCTTGGGAAGCTGCCTCAGAGCTGTACTCCTTCAACCGAACTCAGCAACACTATAGCACCCTCCACCGAGTGGTGGAAGATGGGCAGCGAATCATTACTGAAGACATAGAAACCACTTTGGACTTTGTGGACGACCGGGCTGTTGTCAGCATTCAGAAAAGCATTATTTCCACCGTCTTTGTATTTTTACAAATGTTCTATGTCTTACATTTGGGGAATCTTCACATTTCATTAACTAGATAAAGCTTTTTAGAGGCAGTATGGCATAATGATTAGAGAGACATAGAGATTGGCCGGGCTTGGAGTTAGAAAGATCTGGGTTGAACTCCTTCCTCCAATTTGCACCAAACTGGCCTATTTGTTGTCCGGTATGCATTTCATTCCATCTTCCACCTCTGTACAGGCTGTCCTTCATGCCTGGAAGGTACTCCTTCCTCATCACTGCCATATCTTGGAATTTCAAAGCTCAGCTCATGTGCCACCTTTGCCAGGAGTCCACAATGCCAGTGCCTTCCATCCTCCCAAAATTACCTTGTATTTACTTTGCATGTATTTTGTATTTGCTTATATGTGTATATTTTTCCCTAATAGAATACAAGCTCTGTGAAAGCAGGGACTGTGTTATTTTTGTCTTTTTATGTTCCTAGACCCTAGTAGAGTGCCTGGCACATAAATAATTGGCATGAAATAAATATGTGCTAATTGACTGACTTGGCATTTGTTATAGTAGCTTTCTGATCATGGACAAATCATTTAATCACTTTGAACCTCACTTTCCTTATCTGTAAAATGAAAATAATAAAACTTCTATTACCTACCACACAGGCTCAGATAAGAATGTATATTTGCAAACTGTAAAGAATTATGTAGAAATCAGTTGGTGGTGGCAATGTTGTTATTATTACTGTTATTATTGAGAGGTAATATAGTGTAGGGAGTAGCTAGATGGCACAGGATAGAGCACTGGTCCTGGAGTCAGGAAGACCTGAGTTCAAATGTGGCCTCAGACACTTATTAGCTGTGTGACCCTGAGCAAGTCACTTAGCTCAATTTGCCTCAGTTTCCTCATCTGTAAAATGAGCTGGAGAAGGAAATAGTATCTTTGCAAAGAAAAGCCCAAATGGGGTCATGAAGAGTCAGATACAACTGAATGACTAAATAACAACAGCAAAATATGTGCTAATTGATTAACTTAACACTGTTATAGTAGCTTTCTGACCATAGACAAATCATTTAATATATGAAATGAAAATAATAAAACCTATATTAACTACCTCACTGGTTAAAAAAAAGAGCATATATTTGCAAACCTTAAAGTACTGTGTATTATCAGTTGTTGGTGGCAGTGTTGTTATTATTATTATTGTTATTATTATTGTTATTATTATTATTATTATTATTATTGAGAGGAAGTGTAAGTAAAGTAGATAGAGAGCTGGTCTTAAGTTCAGAAAGAACTGGGTTACTCTGGCTGTGTGACCATAGAAGAGGTTCAGTGCCACAGGTTAAAATCCTGTGGCAGAACAATAGCAGAACAGGTATCGGTCAACTTTGGTAGAGGGAGTATCCTTACCAAGAATTCCATCCACTCAGGGAATCTCAGATTTATTCCAAAAAACCATCATTATCATCATTATCACCACTTTTATTTCCTCTCCCTTATGCCTTCTTCATAGGGGAAAAAATAAAAGTAATTTTTAAGTTATTCCCTGGTCATCACATCACATAAATGTTGGTGTGGGGCATTTTCTAGTGTTATATTTTAATAAAACAAATGCCAGAGCATATCTGTTAAAAAAACAAACAAACAAACAAACAATGTGCTTTACTTCCCTACACCACCACATAATCAAGAAATCTGTACTCTCTGATGTAATTACATGAAGGGAAGAAGTGGCTCCATCTGGACATTCTGAGAATTCCAAGGCCTAACATTTCACTGAGTGTCTGTGGAACAAACAAGTAGTCATAGGGTAGCAAAGAGTTGCCAGCATCTTTCCTTGGGAGAGAATTAAGCACACAGATGACATCTTGCCTGCAATTTTTCATCTAGTTCTTATACTTAGACTTTGTTGGCCCATAGATCTCTTAGATAAGTACTGTTCTCTTCTCCTTCTATCTCCTTCTCCTCCTCCTCCTTCCTTCTTCTTCCAAAGTAATTTCAGGAGGAAAGGAACTCTACTGACTAAGAAAATTTGAAAATGCCCCCTCCCCATGGCAGGTAGCACTGAAGTAGATCTTTGAAGGAAGCTAGGGACTCTAAGAAGTGGTTATGGGAAAGGAGCCAGATTCAGAAAGATGGAATGACTTGCCATAGCTGGTTGTGATTGAGCTGGGACTGGGACCTGTGTCTTCTGACTCCTAGTCCATGATGCCATGTTGTCTTAATTTATAGTGATTCACAATCATAGTGATCTGTCAATCACACCTGTGCTGGTAGTTGTAACTCCTAGAACAGGAACACACATTGAGGTCACTTTTGCTTCCTGGTACGTTCTGGTGTATGAGGACCCTTGGATCCCCCCCATCCCAGCCTGGTCTAACATCCCTGTCAATCTCTTTCTGGAGTCCTTAACCTATTTAGAAAGCTTATGGATGAACTCAAGTTGTTTCATTTCCTTTGACCTCCATCTCAGCAGGAAAATGATATTAGATGAAGAACATTTTGACAGTGATAATTTATCTTAATATTCACAAAGAACTTTGAAAACTTAGTATGAATGATGATATTAATGACAATATTTGTTAACATTCTAATGTAGGACTTCAAGTTTTTGTTGATATCTGTGTCTTTCCATTACCTTACATTCCCAATATATGCCCTGATGCTACCCCAAAGCTACCCTTATAATAAAGAAGGAAAAAGGGAAGAAAAATAATTCAACAAAACTATCAAACACATTAACCAAAGCCAACATATATGTAGTGATCCACATTCGTAATCACCACATACCCATGCAAAAAAAGGTGGGGGGAAGATACATTTTCATATTTCTCCTTTGGGGCCAAACTTGGCCCTTATTAATTCACCATATTTAGTTACTATTTTTCTTTCCATTTAAATTGTTGCAATCTGTGTATATAATTATTTCTGTTTCTGCTTACTTTGCATCAGTTTTCAAGTCTCCCCATGCTTTTATGTATTCTTCATAGTCATGATTGCTACAGTAGAATAATATTCCATATATTTCTATACAATTTTTTAAGTCACTACCCAGTTGATAGGTATGATTTTTCAAAACACTTTAAATTCTGATCTCTTCTCATTCCATGTCCAATGTTCTTTCCCTTCTATTGAAAATATGAACTTGTTATTATCAATGAAAAACAATTTCTGTGTTTGTATGTGTATACATTCCTACATCTTCTATACTTCTATTATTGAACTAGTCAAAGCCTTTTGAGTGCTTCAGAAGCTTATTGTCTAAACCGATCTGTGTTTTGCATTATGGTCTTATGGTAACTTTCCAAATTCTTTTCAGATTTCTGGAGCCAGAGGCACATAGATGGAAACTATGCAAAAAAAAAAGTGTTCCCAATGCTTTCACCATGGTAAAAGCTAAAGACTGAGAATAGTTCAAAAATAACTAAACCAAATGGAGAGTGTTTTCTGGATCTGATCAAGTTTAAAAAAAAAACCACCATGGAAATTCAGGCTGAGCTAAAAAAAATGTACTGAAGAGCAGTTTCCAAATATTTTCTTTACTAAATGACCTGTCAGTTCAAAACCAGTAGATAGTACCTTTCTTTAACTATTAATGATATAGTAATGTTCTGTTTCCCAATTATACTGAACAGACGATGTTTCCTTAAACATATAATGTCACAGCTAGAAAAAAAAACCCTTAGAAGTTAGTTAATGATTCAGTGGATAAATCACTGGGCCTGGGGTCAGGAAAACTCATTTTCCTAAGTTCAAATTTAGCCTCAGACACTTACTAGCTGTGTGACCCTGGGCAAATCACTTAACCCTATTTGCCTCAGTTTCCTCATCTGTAAAATGAGCTGGAGAAGGAAATGACAAAACCACTCCAGTATCTTTGCCAAGAAAACCCCAGATGGGGTCATGAAGAGTGGAACACAACTGAACAACAACAAACTTCTTCCATCCCATTTTACAAGTGAAAAATTAGAAAATAGAGGGTCTAGAGTCACAGAAAGTCCTAAGTGATAGAGCAGGGTTGTTGTTGTTTACTTGCTTTTCAGTCATATCCAACTCTTTGAGACCCCATTTGGGATTTTCTTGACAAAGATACTGGAGTGGTTTGTCATTTCCTTCTCTAGCTTATTTTACAGATGAGGAAACTGAGGCAAACAAGATTAAGTGCCTTGCCTAGGGTCACACAGTAGTATCTGAGTCCTGATTTGAACTCAGGAAGGTGAGTGTTCCTGACTCCAGCCTGGCTGCTCTATTCACTGTGCCACTCCATCATGCTAGAGTTCAGCTAAATACTGGGAAGATCTAATTTACAGAGTCTCTAAAAAGACAGGTTAGTTCTGAACTATCTCAGAGGGATTGTAACTTTAGGGAAACCCTAGAGCTGCCTTAGAAGAGCTATAATAGAGTTAAATTCTTGGATCAATCAAGATCTGAATGAGCTTTCCAGGAATCATGACCCCAGGTCTTTGAGAGTCATTCTGAAATAACTCTGAGCCCTCACGCCCGCTGGATCAAGCCCCTCCAGGATTAGAGACAGTGAGGCAAAGTTCTCTAAGGTATTTACTCATTCTCTGGCATTCACCCCACTGTGGGACTCCGCCCATAAATAGTTCTGCTAATGAAACGCCTCATGAGCTATTGAGGTCTCCAAACTACATGTATGGTTTCTATTTTGTGAAGATGTTTCTCACCCTCTCCATCAAAATTAAAACAGCTCTGCAAAAACAAAACAAGACATTCCTGTGACAAAAGAGCAGCTCACAGACCTGAGTAAATGAATGGATGTATGAAAAAAGCATTTATTCAATGCTTACTATTTGCAAAGCACTCTTCTAAATACTGAGGATACAAGGAGGAAAAGGGAGATAGTTTCTGTTCCCCATGAGTTGATGTTCTAGTAGTAGGAAGCCATACGTATACAAAAATTCTTCACAAACTGGCCCTAACATATTATGTTTCCTCTTTGGACACTGCTTCATGTACTATGAGATCCAGTCAAACTGGCCTTTTCTCAGTTCCTCACGCACAACACTCCATCTCCCATCTTCACGTCTTTGTCCTGACCATCCCCTATGCCTGGAATGTACTCTCTCCTTACTTCTACCTCATAGTCTCTCTTTTCCTACAAAGTGCATCTTGAGCATCATTTTGTTCAGGGAGTCTTTCCTGATCTCCCAAATGTGACTGCCTTTTCTTCCTAATTACTTTGTAATACATATATACATATACACACATATATGTGTGTGTGTATATATATACATAATATATATATTATATATATATATATATACACACACACATATATGTATATATTTACTTTAAATTTCTGTTGTATAGATTTTTTTATACGTATTTGTTATTTATCAATTAGAGTACAGTTATCCCTTCCACACTGTGACTTTTCCCATCATGGGTTTCTATATATCTTAGGTAAGCA